CAAGTAGAGGCTTTCACAGATTCTAGCATCTTTTCACCATCCATTACAAAACTGGGTCAAAACGTTTCATAGGCAGACCAGCCAGTGTATTAGACAATCTTCCTGAGTGACCTTCTGACTGACAAGTGACATCTAGATCAGAGTGTATTCACAGTAATTTATCAGCAAAAAATCTTTGCAAAAATATCATGAGTAATTGTCTGTTCCTGAGACAATGAAAGCTCAGATTTAGAAGTAAGTAGATACCAAGCTACCTTGAACAGTCGGGATGGTCATGAACTACCCGATATAATTGTAGCAGAGGAGTAATATTTCTTTGCGGTAATCATAACCTGTCAGATTCAGTATGAGTTTTTTTTGTCAGCATCTTTCTACATTTCCCCTAGTTCTCTTCAGTCACTCGGCTCTGTGGTAAATCAGAGAGCCGGGATCTACTCCAGGGGCATGAGAAGTTGATGAAGGGTTTAATAGCTTCAAGGAGCTTCCCATTCCAAGATTCCTCATCAGTCTCAACAGAGCACTTATTTGGAATCCTAATCCCCCTCCAAAAAGCATTCTGGAATCCAGTAGGATCCATAAGCCTCCAAGGGTGGACCATTTTAACTGAATCCCATTTCTAATTGAGTATCAGGGTCACATTCACCCTTGCCTTGAGTAGATAGTGGTCAGCCCATGGTTCAGGCCAAATCTGCAACCCTGAAACCAAACCTTCTCTTAAAGTCTCAAGTGTAAAAGATTAAGTTCAGTGTGTAACCTCTTTCATATGTTGGGCCCATCACAATTTGAGAGAGGCCCAAAGCAGTTAAAGAAGCTATAAGATCCTCAGCCCCTCCTCCATTTTCCCACATGCTACTGCGAAACCTATTTGGCTGAGGGGAGGAAGAAAGAACCAAGACAGGGAGCCTGTGCCATCACCCTCGCCTCTCCCTTCTTTATTGTCTCCCACATATGTCTGCTTTCCTTTTTTTTTAGGAAAGGCTGTGCTGCAATGCTCTCTCTCACTCATACAGAGAAATCCAGCTATGATCATAAAAAAGGGGATCTTGATGAGACTTAATGACCGCTACTTTCTACCCCCGCCCCTTGATAGCAGCAGGCATGTAAGACATTCGTCAGAATGGGTGACTGGTGCGCAGCTCCCACAGGACTCTAACCTGTTTCTCCTGCCAGGACGTGCAGAAGAGAAGCAGATGAATAGCTCCTGGGAAGACATGCACCAGCTTCTTATTCTGCATAATGGTAAGAGTGCCTGAGGAGCAGGAAGAGGGAAGAAGACCCAGGGTGTCCTGCAGTGACAATCAGAACACTTAGTTTAGGCTGAAAAGCTTTGGGCAGTGCTTGCTCAAATCTCAAAAATTAAAGGAATGGACAGGATTTCTAACAGGGAGAGATGAGGAGTCAGTGACCACCAGTATACCACTTTGCTCCTTTTCATGACTAGCAGAAGCAGAAATGCTGCATAATAAGCATATTTTATAGTCCCCAAAGCTGCACTTTTCTCAGTTCATAATTTTGGAAACACTCATTCCAATTTTTCTGCAGACCCTAATGCTTTTTGCCTTGGGTATGTGAGTATTGTCATAATAGGGTTGCCAGGTCTGATGATCATGCTGGTGGAGGAGGGAGAGGGACTTTCTGGGAGTGGAGGCAGAGCTCTGTGATGTGTTGACATCACACGGAAGTGACGTCATCGCATTGGCGATGTCACGCAGAGATGCTCTGGTTTGGAGGCAAAACACTATGGTAAAATTGCCCTCAAACTACAGAGTTTTGCCCAAAAACCAGAGCATCGCCAACATGAGAATCTAGATCTGGTACTCCTTCTGCAGTACCTCTGCCACTGGTTGTGGGCTTGGGTCAGGTATGCTGGCCCCCTCTTCCTCAGAGGTGTCCTCTGCATCCCTTTGCTCTGCTGAGCTTGGCTGGCCCACAACAACAGGATGCAAACAAATGTGCATTCATTCAACTGCTTCCACCATACTTAAAATGTTACAGCTGCTTTGTCTAGCATGACTGAGAAACAGATTCTAGAAGAGGGCTGGGCAGAAATCTAGTTTGTCAACAGCTATAGGTGCAGGTGCAGGGAACAGGCCTAGCTGCTACCCTCCACAGAATATCCAATGTAATAAGTATTTTAAGTTTTAGTAAACTTTTCATTTCAGAAAGATGTGCATCACTCCTTGAAGTTTGCATTTTAGCTAATGTAGAGGCTTTGGATCTTGTTTTCTTTTTTGCACAGCATAAACCAAACCCTGATCATGCCTGATATTATCTCCAACATTATGCGCCCTATATAAATCCAACATAATCTCTCAAACACAAACTTCAGGGGATTCTGCAATGAAAAGTTTATTTACAGGACAACAGTCCTGGAAAAAAAATGTGCTGTCTCTTTAATCGATGCTTACTGGGGTGATGTGCCAGGTGATGTCATTTATCTCCATGCCTTGAAAAGCTTTAGCTGCCCATTCCCACACATTAAGCCTGTATTAAAGGGACAGGACATTTTCTCAAATCCTTCAGCAATTGTATTCCTTCAGCATTTTAAGCATAAAACCTAGGGTTCCCAAGTACTTACCGTGATCTGGCGGGGGAAACATGCTCCCCGGCCGGACCATTCCTCCCTGTAACACACCATTCCTCCCTGTAACACACCATGCTGTCGCCAGGAAGTGACGCCGAGCGATGCTCTGGCAATGGGGCTGTCCCATTGCCAAAGCGTCACCCGGTGTCACTTCCTGGCGACGGCATGGTGCAGCGCATCTGTTTTCTCCGCAGGAATAATCCTGTGAGGACGTCTGTGTCCCCCGCTGAATCACAGTAAGTACTTGGGAAGCCTGATAAAACCACACTCACTCACATATATTGACACCAAAAATGGAACAACATCTGTTTATCATATCATGTATTACAATGAAATTGTAACTGGGTGCACATTTGTCTGAAGTAGTAACATATATAAACCATTCCCACATCGACCATGGTTTTAAGAAGACAGAGAAGGCTCTGGGAACACTAAAATGTCATAAAATAGCATAATGGTCCTTTTTTATTTGTCGTCCCAGTCAGACTAAGCAGAAGTAGATGGACTATCAAATTGGGCAGTCATTCTATCAATTTCTCTACAAACCTAGGAGGATAACGTGTTGATTCTAGGACATGGCAGCTTCCACATGGGGATTTTTCTCCACACGAAATGCAGGAAGCCTCCGATTTACATGACCGCTTCCGCATGATGGTATGCTCATTCTGATCATAGGAAAACCTTCTTTGAATGAGATCGAAGGAGAAACTGTGGGGTGGCTGGGGGAAGAGCATTCTTGTGGACTTTCCGCTGCAGCCAATATGGTGAGGAGGATGGAGCTAAGCGCCTTGTTTCCTCTCCCCCATTTGACTGTTTGAAGGGCTTCTTTTCTTTTCTCAGCTGAGCTACACTGGAGTTTTACATCCTGGCACAGCTGGGAAGGGGCAAGTTGGGGAAAGTGGGATTGGCAGACCAGGGGGACCCAGCATGATCTCTACCGTGTCTGTGGTTTTGCACAAATGCAGTGGAAGGAAACAGGGAAAGCAACAGCAGCATAAAGCAGGACAGGGACAGGGCATTCCCAACTGCTCCCACACTGCTTGCAGCTTCTGCTAAGATATGGTGCATTTTTGTGTCCCTGTGTGGAAATTGCTTGTTACAAACAAATTAATGCAGACAAGGAGAAAAGATCTTCGTGGTGAAATAAGAAGAAGAAGAGGAGATTGGATTTATACCCCGCCCTTCACTTGGAGTCTCAGACCGGCTTACAAACTCCTCTCCCTCCCCCTCCCCACAACAGACACCCTGTGAGGTGGGTGGGGCTGAGAGAACGCTGACACAAACTGCTCTTTTTCAAGGACAGCTGTGCCAGAGCTTGTGACTGACCCAAGGTCACATCAGCAGGTGCAAGTGGAGGAGTGGGGAATCAAACCCGGTTCTCCCAGATTAGAGTCCACACACTTAACCACTACACCGAACTTGACTATATACTTTGAAAGACCTGTTCTCACACCCACTGACACCACTGAGAAATGAAGCCATTGAGAAAAATGTGCCTGTCCTGGTTGTAACTAACCCCCACCCACATTCTGCTTCTTGAGTGTACCTGCTACCATGTCTAAGCTTCACCACTGGGTGTTTCACTGTAAGCGCCCTAAACTGGAGTTAACAGTGGTATATCAGAATCAGAGCTGCGTTCACATAAGTTATTAACTGAGAATCGCATAGAACAAAATGAGTTTATTTTTTAAAATTTTTGTAAACTGCCTTTGGTCCATGGTAGGATGTCAGGGGAAACAAACAGATAAAATGCATCTGTAGCCAGCAAGAACATGGTAGCCTAGATGGATTCTCATCCCAACATTCCACAGCTCACCAGCTCAAGACCTTTTGCAGCTCAGGTTCTCAAAGAAGGATCACTGGAAAAAATGCTTGTGTGAAAGGTGAGATGGAAGGAATGAAAGTGTATGCATTGTCCTCTACTGTGGCTCCTCCTTCATTCCTACATTAATCAACAGCCACTTTCAATATAGATGTGAACTGCTCAGGATTGTCCACAGTTACCATAGCTAAATTAAAGATAATGTTACAAAAAGGCATCTTTGAATTATGCATAATGTCTGAAGATTCCCTGCTTACACTGGGTTGCAAATTTCATTAAAGATGCATGCATGTGAAAAATCAAACCATTTTAGAGTCATAAAAGCCGGAACACTGTCTATATAGACACAGCCCGTCCTTCACATAACCACTCTGTCTGAATGACTGACAGCAATAACCCAAAGCAGTAGGATTTCTTTGCAATGGATCACACGAAAACAGGGTTTGATGTATTAGGTGCCTTTAATCCAAAACAAGGAAAAGCAGACCAAAGAATTTGTTTCAACAAAGAGACACCAACAAAAAAAACTTTTCCTTGAACAAATTAAATTTCCATACAGTGTCTAAAAAGTCACCTAAAAGCTACCTTTCTTTTTTCTTTTTTTAAAAAAGTGTGTTTAAAACATTAAAATCTTGTGAAACAAAAATGGCAAAAGATACTCATTCCTGGATGAGAGAGATACAGAAAGGAACAGGGGAAAAAATGGACTGACCACCAGAAGGAGGCAGGTTTTCAGTGAAGGGGCACTTTACCCTTTTCTTCTGTAATGCAGAGTAAGAACTGAAATTTGTACTCAAGAGAGCTCAACTTTAGGCAAATAAACTGAAGAAGTTGAAGAGAATCCCAGCTGAAGTCTGCAGGCCGCAGAGAAGCCCATTTTGCCTTGTTCCAAACACAGCTGTGGCTATTTGATTTTCCAGGTAGTACCAGGACCAGTTGTGCCATTTGGCCAAATAACATCCAAAGACACAAAGGACCCATTTTTATGGTGCTTCCATTTCTCACCATATTTTCTACCTTAGAATGGGCAGGTGACAGATTTTGCCCCATGCCATGTCCAAGCTGAATTCCAGTCAGATGCATATCTCAGGTTTGCTACCTGTTCCACCAAAGAGTAGCAGTTTCCAGGTGTTGTTGTAGATTAGAACTACCATGCTCAGCTACACAGGAAAACAATGGCAACACCCTCATGATACAATGTTCATATTTGTGGAGATATGAGCCCGCAATCTTATAAGCATGAGAACTTTTGAGCTCCAACAAGGACATCAGCATGAACACGAAATGAGATGGTGATGGGTCACAAGACATGTTCCGGTGCATTTCTCCAGGAAGGTTGGATCAGCTAATGAACAAGATCAATCATCAACGTCTTCATTCAACAGACATCTTCTCTCCTCCCCCACCTTCAAATACCCTGAGATCATAAACAGAAGTTGGGATGCATTATAGGCCCCTCTCTCTACCCCTCAAACATCCAGGGTAGAATACAGAAGCAGGGCCTTCCTGCGCCTGTACTTACACTCAACATACATCCTACCATATTATTACATGTAATCCACAACTCACAAGTAAGAGAAAAGTAATCCTGTGTACACACAATTAGAGAGAAGGCTTCCAGTTTAAAGGAGGCATCTTGTACTTTGGGTATAAGATCAACGGCTTCCAAAATGTTCAAATGGAGCTTAAGACCAAACAGCAATCCTCAAAGGAACAATTTTTGGTATTAAATTAATACAATGGCATCACACAGTATTTCTTCAGTAGCCCTGGCTCTTCTCTGATACAAACTGAAAGCCTTTACCTCTAAAAACCTAGCACAGGACTCTTACTGTCTGGATTTCAGCTCTACAGTAGTTTTAAAAATATATATTATTATCATCATCATTATTATTAACCCTTAAAATGCTGACCACAGGAATTTCCATGTCTCTGAAAGGAAAATAAGGGCAGAGTTTACCAAAAATATTTCCCTACAGGACCAAAGGAAGGGGGAAAATGTGTGTATTGTACAGACGGCAGCTGTCTCCTACCTGGCCCCAGAAAGGTCAGAACCACAAGTGGCAGCTAAAAAAATAACTAGTCTGGTACAAAGATCTGAATTCCATGCGTTTGATATGACAGTCATCTCTGATTCATTAAAAAATATATATAGATATAGTTATTGCTTTCACAACCACAAGGCTTGTCTCCGCTGAGCCCTCAGGGAGAAAGTGCAGTTGGCTCAGGGGGGTTTGCTTTCTTCCGCCTCTTCATAAGCAAAGGGTTAGATGAGTCTTCAATTTTCTTGATCTTGATTTGTTCATAATCCACCCTCATGGTGGCCAAGGCACTGGTCATCTCCTCCTGACAGTGATTGAAAGAGGAAACATCCAATAAGAGACAAAGAAGCATGGCAAAGCATCACTTCTCTGCACCTAGTGCAGACTTGTACCACTGTTTCTAAACACACACACACACACTTCCATCCCATGCCATGCAATAGCATGAAACGCACACATACACCTTTCTTTCTGAAATGAAATAAATAGACCATATCATAGCAAAGTGCTGCTGGGCTGGGCTCTTCTAGATTCAAAGGCCCTGGCGAAGTGTATTCATCCCTCACCCATGCTTGTGCTATGAGAAAGAGATGAAACCCCAGCAAACTCCTACTGAAGGTCCTATAAAAATCCAATAAGAATCCATCAACAATTTTAAGGAGCATTATGATAAAATGATAAAAGTCACTCCCTTTCAGACAAACAGTACAGAAATGAACACGTCTCCCAGCAGTGGTCGATGCCTAATAAAGAAAAGGGTCATTCCAGTCCCCAACCAGCTGATGCAAAGATACAAATTAGGTGTCTTGTTACTTTTCAGTTATTCTGATCTTAGGGATTGTTGCCAAGTAGTGGAACAGTTTCTATTCCTCTTCTCAACTTTCCAACACACTTTCCAACTCTCCACTAGGTTAGGCCTGATGAGAAAGCTGTGATTTGGGTGACATTTGGCCACCACCACATTCAGCACTGTCTATCAGTTGCACCCACGGCTTCCACTCGATCTAGGCTACAAATATGAAACAGGTAAATAACTTACTTTGACATCTTCCCATAGGTCCTTCTCTTCTTTCAAAACTCTGCTAGTATGCAGTGGCGTCTGCGGAACCTGCATTGATTGCTGTGGAGAAACAACAAATTGGGAATAAGCCACTATGTCACGGATACTATAGACAGTCTGTTCTCATGCTTCTCAGTTTCAACGGCAAACAATTTCCTTTGGTCTTCCAGAAAAGTGAGTTCTTACCATGATCCAGGGGTGATTCATAAACTCTGTTATTGTCATGCGCTGGGTTGGATCTGTTTTCAGCAGATTCCGGATCAGCTGTTTGACTGCAGGTGGGAATAAAAATGAGGCTTTATGGTTCTACATCTTGTCATGTCATCACAAAACTATCATTATACTTCAGAAGCAGCAAAACTCCGAATGTTTGCCCAGTGAAAGGGAGATCACTCACACATGAGCCTGGATCTATCTTAAGTAGAGCGCAACCCTGTCTATACAGATCCATATTGGTTCCTAAGCAGAGATGATGAGCCAATGCATGTGATGCGCTTTGAGTGCTATGCATTTATTGTCATCAGAGCAAAGACAGCAGTCAAATGCCTAAACCTCAGAGCAACTAACTAAGAATATGCAAACTTGACTTCAGTCTGTTGTCAGAAGAATTGCAAAATGTGTCACATAAACCTTTAAAACTGTAAAGACTTTGACTACGAGAGCACGTCAATTAGAGCCCGCAGAGGCTCTAATCCTTTCTAGTAGGCATTCAGTAGGCAATGCTCATCTTTTTCAGTAGGCAGTCAGCCTCCAACAACAATGCCAAACTATTTCTCTGAGTTCATTCTTCTTAAGTATAGAAGGGCGCTCATGCTAGCATGACTGAATGCCCTACCTTCAGCTGTGATGTCGGGAAGATTTAAGGGGTTTTCATACCCAGATAGACTCTGTAATTGCAGCAGCAATAAAATTGACTCTGTGGATCACATTCTGCTTGATTGCCCCAAATTTTCAGCTCTAAGAGACAAAATGATCTCTCCTTTATTTAATCAGGACCTCCCCTCTCCAGAAGCAAAATCATCCTGATTGCTTAGAGATGAAGACAAACAAACTACCCTGTGTGTGGCAAAACTTCTAGCAGTTGTCAAATCATACAACTTTTGTAGTAGCAACCCTTGTTCTTCCATGTTTTCCTGTGAGATGAGGTTTATGGTGGGATGAGGCTTTGCTGTTATGACTCTGGTTGCAAAAACAGTAAGAAGTAATAAATAATTTTTAAAAAAACTGTAAAGTGGGCGTGTAGCAATGTTGTGATGTCAGCTATGTTTATCATGCTGGTGCACATACCATGGTGCTGGGATTGACCACTGCATTCATACAGTGGAAACTAAGTGCTTACTGATGCACAATGCCTTAAGGAGCCCAAAAACAGGGGGGGGGAAAACCCCATAACTCTATTCCCAAAAGGTTATGACATCAAAATCAACACACACACAAACCCCACATTGGATTCAATTTGCCTGCCAATACAAAGTATTAAAAATTGCAAGCCTATTTTCTCCAGGTGGTGCTGTTACCAGATAATTTGACACAAGAACTTACAGAGCCTGCAAGTTATTGGCAGTTATCAGAGGCTGTGCAATTCTGAAGCCTTGCTTAAAGCATAAATGTGCCCCTATTACAGGCAGTAGTGCCTGTCTATATATCATCCTCCTTCTAATCACACCAGACATGTAAAGCTACAATAAGTTGGACAGTTGCTACTGAAGGCATGCCCCAGTGGAGTTACATCAGTGCCTTAAGGGAGCCTCTACACAGGGCCTTTTTGGGGACTGGATTTACTTATTAGCCCTTTTCAGCCATTATGGTTTTTGGTGCTGTACTCACACATACAGGGAAAACACACTATGTGCAATTCTCCCAATATGTGCATTCACCATTTGTCTGAAAGGAGCAACACTCATATTTTCAGTCTCAGTATACAACACTGTTTCCTCTTCATAAATATTTTTACCTTCTTCAGATACTTCAGACCACTCTGGATTGGGAAATTCATACTGGCCCATCCGGATTCGTTTCTTCATGCCAGGAGAAATGGCCAGGCCGTGGTTGGAATAGAAAGGGGGATACCCACACAGCCTGAACAAAAACAGAGATAGTACAGTGATATAAAGAGTGGAAGTCAGTGCTGGGTGCCAAAATGATTCAACACTAGGGTTGCCAGGTCCTTCCTAGTCCCTGGCAGGGGGCATTTCTGGAGGGCGAGGGGATGTTCCCATTGCGATGATGTCACATCACACTGGGGACCAGCACCCCGCACACCTGTTCTCCAAGCAGCAAATTCATCGCTTGGAGTTCAGGCACCTACCTGCTTCTTGCCAAAAGTATTTAAAGTATCCCTGCATGCCTGAACTCCCAAGCGGCAAATTTGCTCCTTGCCAAAAGCATTTAAAAGATCCTTTTAAATTATTTGAAAGAAGTGGGGGGCTGCATGCGCCTGAACTCCAAGCAGCAAATTCACCTCTTGGAGTGCAGTCACACACACACCCCATTTAAATGCTTTTAATAAGAAGTGGAGGGCACCTGAAATCAGCAGCCACCCTTCTCCCTTTCCTCCTGCAAGATTTAAAGGGCCCTCCAGCTCATCATGCTCCTGCAGATCAGCTGAAGGGCCCTTTACATCTCGCAGGAGGGGAGGGAGAGGGGTGGCTGCCACCGGCCATGTTGGGGCAGGGCTTAGGGGCGGGGCTTCCCTCACTGGCCAACTGGGCATTGGCGGTCAGGAGCCCACGAAATTGGGGGATTTCCCACCCCCACCTGGGGACTGGCATCCCCTATTCAACACAAATGTCTTGACCCACTCAAACTCTCCGTCTTGTAAAATAAATTCCAGTAGATAAACTGGCCTATTTGGCAGGCACCAGCCTTCAAAAATGAATTTCAACCCACATGAAAAGCAGATTGTATATAGACTACACTCACACATCAAGAGAATGGCAAATGTCCCGTGACAGTTTCAACACAATTGCTATTCACTTTGTGTACATTTTGGAAATTAACCTGTTAGCCAAAATACATCTTTTCTCAGTGCTTAAAGGGAATGTCCCCCAACTGAAAAGGGGGATGCAAATGCTGAAGCAGCTCAATGAAATCTCAAAAGTCACAGAATCTTTAAATTTGGAATGTTCCGCAACCCTGCCAACAATGCCATGCAGGACAACATAGTTCTGTATAGCAGAAATAGCTTACTTACAAAATATACATGATGACACCAAGAGACCACATATCACAGGACTTGTCATATTTCTCTGGTCCCAGCACCTCTGGGGCTAGAAGGAGGGAAATGAAAGGCACAAAGATTCAAACGGGTTACATTTTCAAAAGACAGATCTGCTAAGCTGTGGAGTATCCCTCATCTTGACAAGGCTCACAGATGGAGTTGCCTGACAAGTGAGGAAGAAGGAAGAAGGGGGTCATCAGGAACGTGGCTATAGTGGCCGCTTCCTCCAAGTGAGTAGCCTAGGAGAGCAAGAGATCCCCTTCTACAACACCTGACACAGAATAAGGCCTTCATGGGAGTGGCGACTTACTCATGTCATGAGTCAAAAGGAAAGTCCACGAAAAACAGACAAGAGAGCTAGGAAATGGATATGTTTGGAGAACCACATATAAAGAGCCAGGTGGGGAGGGTGGCAAGGAAAAAGGAATTCACTACCTTCCCATTGTTAGAAATCTTGAGGGGAAAGAAGGAACTAAGTATCTTTTTAAATCCCTTCCTGATAGGGTTGCCAAGTCCTACCTGTTGCTGCAGTGGGGGACTCCCGGCTCGCTCCTGGAATGCGCGCGTGTGCCGCAACCACATCACCTGGAAGTGACGCGACCACGCCAGGCACGCTGGGGGCGGGGGCACGACCATCCGAGGGAAAACCATAGAGTTTTCCCTCAGATGACTGTGGCCCCGGAGCAGGGGGTGGGGCTTATTGCATATGCCCGCCCCCTGGGCACTTCCTGGTGACGCGCACGCCGGGGTGGTGTTCCCCCCGGGGCCCGATCCACCGGGGGCGGGGAACGGGCCTCGGGGGCGGGGGTTTCCCCCCCCACGGGGGGGACTTGGCAAGCCTACTTCCTTAGGCCAAAAATTCTTTGAGGCCTTTCCTCAGATAAAGATTAAACTGGTCAACATTCCATTGCAGATCATGGCATGTCTCCTATCACTATAATCAGCAAAGTTTGATACCTTCCTCCAACCTTAGGAGCCTTTCTCTGACTTACTTAGCACTTCTGCTGGAGGAAGAACCACACAATTGGAGGAAGGCTCAAACTTTGCTCAGTGGGATGGCAGGATTCATGCCTATACTTCTGGTACACCCAGTATGCTAAAGACAAGTCTGCAAAACACACTTTTTGTAGGCACCACAGGGAGAAGAGCTCCTGTTTCTAGCAGGGGACACCACAATTATCAAGAAAAGGTTTCCTGAAAGCACATGAGTGGAACAGCAAGTGCTGCCAGGCAGATTAATGGGGCTCTGCCTTTCCAGAGCAGGAAAAGTAGCATTTTTGCTTGCTTGCCTTACAAGAATATAATTTTCAGAAATGTGTATTGCACGAGGACAAGCCGTCTGCTCCTGAGGAGCTTATTACTGTCAGCAGTACACTTGCATCTGCAATTAGAACACAATTTACCTGGCACTGGCTACCCATTCTCAGTTGCCGGGAAAACCTATCACACTGAGTCACTCAGCTGCAGAACGTCCCTACATTTGCCAGCGCAGGATGCCAATGGGACTCAGGGAAACATCTAAAGCTTGGCCTTTGAAGCTCAGTTGTTCAGCCTGTTTTCTAGTCTTCTGCTGAAAAACAGACCAGAACTAAATCTGCAAAGATTTTTAAGGTACTCAGAGTAACTGGCGTTTTTTCCCATTTATACAATTTCAACTTATTTTTTTCTGCAGAGAGAAAGCTAAGAAAAATAAGATGTAGCCTTAACGATTAGGGAGACAGCAGTGAAAATAAAGCAAATGGTGAGAAAGCTTCTTTGAAGTAGAATGTATATATATAATAGAATTAAATATATATAAAATTTAACTCAGGGATTTCACTCCAATTGTCTTCCTTCAAATTTCACAGAACTTTGAGGAACTGCACCCTGAGAATTGAGGGTCTTGGGAAAGGTGCACCCATTTATTACAACATATAAACAATAATAAAATAACAGAAGTCTCTCCTCACTACACAATTTTGAAAAACTACAAATATAAGATTTTCTCCAAGCAAAGAGCTAATTCTGATGTTTCTTTGTTGTTTGTCCCCCTAACACATTTGTACTTTTGCAACATTAATAAAATCCCTTGAAAATTAAACCTCCAGGTGCATTTTTAAAAAGACAACAACTAAAAAATGTTTTCCATCACTCACAGGGGCCTTTTTGAAGAATTTCTATTGCCTTTTTGTTTTTTCCTATTTAGCAGCACATAGATGTGCTTTTTCTGGCATCCTTGAAGCTCAAAGTTACAGATGTGTACATCCATAAGATTTTAAAGAAAAATATTTCCCCGGCATTTATGGTTTACACAGAAATACCAGGGAGGAAAAGGGGAAAGAATAAAAACATCAGAAGGTGCAAGTCCTTCTCAGACCATTCCTCAGGTCTCCTACAGACTGAGTCTTGCTCCAGACTACAGCCCAATAGCAATGGACCAAAATGTGACTGCAAAATCCAACCTAATTTGTTCAACTTTGTTGGACCCATTAATTCCTCCCAATAGTGCTTTCATGGCAAGTAAACCATATTGCTTGCTCAAGACCATTTTCTATTGCTGCTCCCACTCTGGAATGGGCTTCTGGATGTAGCCCAGTAATCTCTGCCTCTCCCCATCTTTCAAAAAGCTTGTACGGCTGTTCTGTTTGAGAGAATTTTGATTTAAGAGTGTTTGTTGAATGCTGGTAACACAGGTGTTTTCCATCCTGGGATAGGCTTATGTAATGTCCCCATTGCTGCTGCGGTTGCTGACATAGTGCAGTGGCAATGGGGATTCCACATGGCCGGCTTCCCTGTAGTTTCCCTGCCCAGTCCCCCACCAGTGACCAACTCCCCCCACCAGCAGGGATTTTTCAGGTTTTTGAAAATCAACAATGCAGTATTATTATATCATTATGATCTTATAACAATATGCATATCAGGTTCTCTGAATTCCCAGCTTTCATACTGCAAAAGTAAGTCTCCAGTCCTTTCCTTGTGGAGATATGTCTCTTGTCTTATATCTCTAGAACAAAATGGGATAGAGGTTTACTTTTCTAAAATGGGGATTCAGAGGTTATAATTATAATATTATAATGCTATGACAATATTCAAGTGCCGGTAAAAACATTAACAAGACTTCCTGGTAGTGGGGCGAGGAAAATCCAGCTGCCGGAACAAGGGTAGAGAAATTAGCTGCTGTGTGGGCAGGAGCCAGAATATCCAAATCTTCCCGCTCACACAGCAGCCATCCAGGCTTTGCTGTGATCTTTCCCAAACCTTTGCAGCAAAGCAGATTTGGGAAAGACCAAAGAAAAGCCAGAGAAAATCCAGGAGGTTCATGAATGGACCACGACTCTGTCGGAAAGCAGGGGAAACCCCCACTTCGAAAACAGCATCAAACCCAGGGCAAATAACCCATGTGCAAATGACAATAATTGTCTATTGACAAATGTATTTTATTTATTTTATTTCATTTCATTTATACCCCGCTCTCCCCACACAAATCTGCTGAATTGCTTTAACGATGTAGTTTGCTGAACAATTCTAGATCTAATTTTCTGCCCTGGCCCTGACTTCGATGGCCCAGGATAGCCCAGTCTTGTCAGACTTCAGAAACTAAACAGCATAAGCCCTGGTGACTACTTAGATGGGAGTCCACCAAGGAAGTCTAGGGTTGCTAGGCAGAGGCAAAGAATGGCAAATCACCTCTGCTCATCTCTTGCCTTGAAAACCCTGGGATCACCATAAGTCAGCTGCAACTTGACTACACTTTCCAGCACCACCAACCTATCGTGAGCTTTAAGAACGAGTAGGATATAAATCTTCCAATGAACGAATGAATGAATAATATTGTTTTAATGATGTTTTTTTTAAATTTTAATGGCTTTTAAGATATGGGAAGGGTTTTTTCTGTACGTGTTTTTTAGCTCTTTTGGTGGCCTTCATGAAGCCAGAAAGGAAGGGTATAAATTTTGCAAATACATCATAAATATAATAAAAGCCCCAGTTAAAGACTTTCTAGGTTCTCAACATTTTTTCATGTATTTGGAAAGAGGCATATCAAGATTTTTATGTAGACTTTATAGGTGGGATGAAGCAGCTGGGACTAACCTTTATTTTTCATGGATATGCAAAGAGCCTTGGCTTAGGGCTCATTCCCCCCCGTCAATTAATTGTTCTTCTCCAAATATTATGTGGGCAGCACTAGCAATCCATCTTTCCTAGCTGGATGCATAAAGAGCAACATTTGAAGCATGCCTACACATTTGCTTCAGTGCTAGTACCTGGACCATCGAGTTTAAACTGTACACCATCTGCAACACATTGGGGAAGCTGCTCGGTTGAAAATTTTGATTCCTGATTCATCTCCACTCTGATCATACACATGAGATCAGGACACAGAAGATCTGAAGCTCACTATCCCCACATCTTGGAAACGGGTGATGCTTCCCATGTGATGTACTTACCCACATAGTATGGCGTGTAGCATGGTGTAGCTAGGGAATTATGTGTGGTGGTTTCTTTTGCAAAGCCAAAGTCTGTGAGCTTTAGTACAGTATTGGGCCTTTTTGAAGTGTATAGGAGGTTTTCTGGCTGCAAGACACAATAAGCAATAGCCAGGTTAGGAGACTGCTGCCTTTTTGCACCACATTGTAGAGGCAAGACGGGGAACAAAGTGCTCTAGTCATAACAGATTTTAAAAAGATGCATTCACAGATAGCCGTATGATCTTATTCAAGTATGGAAAATGAGTCTTCAGTTTACAGAATAATTCACTGCTTACTTCTTCTCCTGGTATCTCTGCAGACCCTCTTGTTTTAAGCTTTTAAGTATTTTATTTATTTATTTATAAATTCGATTTCTAAACTGCCCTCCCCCTTACTTGGGGCTCAGGGGGGTATACAACAATCAAGAATACAGTCATCAGTTTAAATAAGCTAAAAATGGTAAAAACAAGTACAGTAACATTACAGATGGCGTCTGAAACCAAATTAACAATACAACACAAATTGCGTATGCATGCCCATGTTTATTTCAGATGTGCTTCATAATTAATAACGACATTTTCCTGTACCAATTGAATTCATACACTTATTAGTGTCCTCAACATATGTGTGTATTCACAGAATGCAAGCCACTATGTTTTCAACCCATATAGCACTGGGCTGCAGCCCTGTGCATGTAATAAGAGCAAAAGCGGAAGAAAGGGGTACATCCACTTCAGCAAGCTTTGAAAAAAACAGGGCTTTTTTTGCTTTTTTTTTTTGCTTGTGACTGAGGAAGCTTCACTTAGGAGAGAAAACAGATCAAATACGGAATGATGTTAAAGCAGATGATATGGAATAATGGAACAGGTTGGGTAGTAAGAAACGTCACCATACCCATCCCATTTCCTCAGAGTCAGGGTAGAATTAGAACAATTAGATCTTTGCAACCTCCTCCTATTCTTAACAAGAAAGCTGCTCTTTTTTTAAAAAAAATGTGCTTTTGCCGCTTGGCAATCTATTCAGCTATGACAGAATATATAACAGGGTGCTGTAAATAAGGATTCTTAGACCAAACATGGGAGGGAGATTCTAATAAAAGGAGCCACCTAATTTGCCTCCAGGAATCCTCTAATCACCTTGACTTTGAACAGAGAATCTGCATGGTTGTGGAATGGAACATAGTTTCATTCCAATGGTCAGGCCTTGGTTCCTGTCATGTGACCCCAATTGAATTTCTTTGGTGTACAGCAGGGCTATATTTGGGCAGGAACGCACAGGAACGGAGTTCCGGCTGGCTCCCAAGTTGGCCATGCCCAGCAGGAACTCATTAGCATAATAGGCCACACCCAACAGCAGAAACTAATTAGGATTGGCTACATTAGGGGTGTGTGGCCTAACATGCAAAAAAAGGCCCTGGGTTTTGACAACAAACAAAGTAAACAGAATAACAAGCAAAAGGTGGGTGTGGCTGGATAACCACACTTCTGGTAACATGGGGGTGTGGCCTAATGTGCTAATGAGCTGTGACCCAATATGCTAATGAGTTCCTGCTGTTGGGTGTGGCCTATTATGCTAATGAGTTCCTGCTGGGCTTTTTCTACAAAAAGAGCCCTGGGTACAGTATCTACTCAAATGCAAAACGAGGCTTTTTTTGCAGGCATGCCATCAAAGCCCTAACATGGATGGCCCAGGCTAGCCCAATCTCGTAAGATCTCAGAAGCTAAGCAGGGTCAGCCCTGGTTAGTACTTGGATGGGAGACCACCAAGGAAGTCCAGGGTCATGATGACACAGAGGCAGGCAATGGCGAACCACCTCTGAACTTCTCTCACCTTGAAAATCCTATGAGGTCACCATAAATCGGCTATAACTTGACAGCACTTTTCACCACCACCATGCCATCAAAAAAAGGATGGGGTCATCTTACATTCACAAATAAGTTACAGTTGTGTCCAATATTTCTTTTGTATAACATTTTAAGCGTGTTATCTTACATTCAGGGTTATCCTCCTTTTGAGTAAATACGGTAATTAATTTCTGGTGGCCATTAAGTAGGATTGTACCTCCACTATTACTTCGTTTGCCATGGAAACAGTGATGGTAAAGCAAGAGTAGGATTTTTAACCCCAATTTTAACTCTAAGCAATTGATTAGGGTGCAGTTTCTAAAACAATTAGTAATCTCTCTTTCTATCCCCCTCCATCACAGGAGAACTGTGGACAATCCACTGACGTAGTCATGCAATGGGTGGCACAGCCCTGCTGGGGCAGTGCAGGGCAAGCCTTTCTGTTTTTCTTTGGCTGCGGTCACACGGAACAGTAGCCACGCTAGAGAGACGGAAGATAGGCGGATTTTCCGGGCGCGATCTCACTGCCACATCTGGGAAGCGTAGAGCTCCCGTGGCTCAACCAAGGCTTCCCTCCGAAGATGCACGGCAAAAAAACTAGTACCTCGGAGGTACTAGTTTCTGGAAACCGCGGGGCAAGGGCGGGCGTCTGATCGTGTTTCTGGTGGCATCCGGCGCCCACCCATGTCCCCTCACAAACAGGTCATTTTTCCCCCCAAGGCTCCACGGATGCGCACAAGCACCCAACGGTGCATGCGCACACTTTAGTTTAAAAAAGTAAAAAAAAAAAACCCGTTTGCCGCGCCGCCCTGCTTCTTTGCCTGCGGTGTGATCGGCACCTCCCCCCTGGCCACGGGACCTCGACAGGACCTCAACCAGACGTCTGATCTCGCAGTCGTGTGTTAGTTTGCCCTGGGGAAACAGCCACGCTCCCCCCCCCCCCCGCATTTTCCAGCCTGTGTGTCAGGGGCCTTTCTAACTTTTTGGCTGGATGATAACCAGGAACAGGAAATCAGCTCAGGCAGAACTAGGGTATATTTGCAAAAATCACCCACCGGATGTTGCTGTTGAAGGTAACTAGGTACCTAATAGAGATGCAGCTGGAAGAGACATTACTTGTCCAGAAAAGTGGGGAAGGACAAGGGGTCAATGAATTCTTAACCACTGTCTAGTATTGGCTGCTTTTATTGTTCAATAGCAAGGGAGTGGGGTAAGCCTCGAGGAAGTCATACTGGTGGAGCTGAATTTATAAATATTTCCATACAAAAATCAGTCCCCAGGCTGCTTTAAAAAGAAGCAGTTATATTGTCAAAATAAAGGATCAGTGTTTAATTTCTCTGGTTTTGGCCAATGTTGAATTCACAAGGCTTGGATAAAGCCATCATTGGGTTTGGAAACTGTTTCCTAGGGTTAAGCCATTTTACACTATGGTATCCCATGCAACAGATACAAAAAGGGGAACATCATCTGCTTCCTGTTCAAGGCTAGTTTAAGGTGATTTTCATTCATCACGTGAATAAAATGAAATGAAATCATCCAATCCCACCCCTGCAAAAGCACCACACATGCAAACATTGACTACGTTCATAGAACAAAAAGTACCTTAACATCTCGGTGTGCAATGTTGATTGAATGTAAATACTGAATGGCTTCCCCAATGCTCTTCATTATTTCTGAAGCCTCTGGAAAAGGTTAAAAAAACCCCATTTTTTCTCAGTAGCTAAACAGGCAACAGACACCACACATTCAGATGAAAGAAACAAAATCTCCAGTCAAGTTTCGCAAAGGAGGTAACATGGAACTGCTGCCAGAAACAGGACAGCATCTTAACCCAGTAGTTGTCAAACTATTTAAACATTGTGCTTGTCAGGTTCCACTTCTAAAGCAACTCAACATGACTTTCCCCCTTCCCAACATTAAATGCAGCCATCTAACCTCAGTCATCACTGAACAAACTTTTACTTTATTTTTCATGCTTAGTATTGAATACGATGAAGCTGCCTTATACTGAAGCAGTCCATCAGTCATTCACGATCAGTACGGTCTTCTCAGGCTAGCAGCAGGTCTCTTTTTAAATGGAGATGCTGGGGATTGAACCTGGGACCTTTGGGATACAAAGCAGAAGCTCTTCCAATAAGCCACAGAAAGTGGCTGAGTAACAAAATGTCATGACCCACTATTAGGTCCCAGTAAGAGCAGCCAAATTCAAAGTAGAAGGGCATCAGGAAATGGGGCATATTGTACTATTTTCAATTTAGATTCGGGTCAGCCAGAAACTACCATTGTTATGCTGACTGCTCATCTATGCCTGGGAGTATCGGTGGGTGTTCACTCAGTCAATTCTTTTGTATCTCCCATCAGTTTTTGATATGTTCAACCGTGGTATCCTTCTGGGGCAGCTGGCTGGGTTGGCAAGGGTCTACTACTTGGTGGCACTGGAGGACTGTGGCATTTATGCCATAGGGTACTGCAGAGATCCATTTTCTAAATAATGGAACTACAGGCTGCAGAGGGAAAGCGGCCATTTTTGATGGCAGCACTATATTCCAATTACTCAGTTCAGGTGATCCTCCAAACACGGTTTGGTACTATTTAAGCCAGGGGTCCCCAATGTGATGCTCATGGGCGCCATGGTGACTGCCAACGTCTTTCCTAGTGCCTGCAAAGTGTTTTTAGAAAGTGGGCAGCCTAGATGGGGCTTCTTCTGGCAGGGCTTCTTAGTGGCCACTGGAGATCTTCGTGGCTGTGCAGATTTTTTAAAATGTTGCTTTGGCAGCCATCTGCCACCCTCACATAAGGCATGACTGACGGTAAGCTGTATGTATGCAAGAAACTATTTTAAAACACTATGCTCATTTTAAAAGGCATCCTGTTAAACCAAGCTTCTGCCTGAAAGGCTGAAGAGTTCCTATTGGAATTATGCATAATCAGCTCCGTGACATTTTGTGGCTGCACCCACCACCCTTTATCAGAATTCCAAAGGTGTCAACAGGCTCAGAAACGTTGGGGACACCTGAATTCAACACAGCTTGAAGAAGCTTCACTCACATAATATCTCCTCCCTTTCCCTCCTCTCCTCATATGATGCAAGCCAATTAGTTATTTTGATATGCTCGCAAACCATAGTTTGCCATTACATCCAAACTGGCCAACTATGGCTTGTGTTTGCCCTGCAGTTCCGGACTGCAAACAATGCTTTGCTCTCAGTTTGCAATCCTGGTTTTGCCGAGCAAACCAAACCATAGTTGGCTGGTTCAGATGCACCAATAAATATAGCTTGCTATGAAAGCCAAAGTAAATAGGTAGCTCACAGTGATGAGAGAGACAAAGGAGGGGGAGGGATGGCAAGAATATGACTAAAGTTCCTTCAGAGTGTACCTAATCAAGATTTGGTGCTACACCTGAACCAAGCCTGAAAGGAAAGCCTGAAAGAGAAGAGGGAGCACAGAAGCCTGTGGTTCACCCACAAAACCTGTAAACCATGAATAAGCTGTCGTTCTGCCGTCAAAAGCTAAATGCTTTTGTCTAAAGTTTTAAGATTCTTCATATAGCCTACCATGCTACAGGCATTAGACGTGTTAATGCCTGTTAAGCTTTAAAAATGCTTTTAAGTCCCCCTTTGTACCTCGTTCTGTGAAAGCTTGATCTCCTCTGTCTTGAATTCGACTGAAGAGCTCCCCACCGTCCAAGCTGAAAGTAAGAAGCAAGATCAGTTATAGGAGCTAAGGCTCTTCCCTCAGTGGGGTTAGCTTGCATGCATGCAAAACATGTGTGCTGCCATTGACAATGGAAGGAACAGGGGTTTCCTCCTGTCAAACCACAAGGGTATAAGCACATTCCATCTCCATGCCTCTGGTTGCCCCGGGCCCTACTTACTTCAATTCTAAGCTCTCCGGGGGCTCAGCTTTTCCTCCGTCATGACCATTCACACACAGTCTCCACCCACCACAATAATGTGATTGTTTGTCATAAAGCAGGGTTTCTTCAGACTTCATTATAATGAGCCTCTCTCGGACCGGGGGGGGGGGGGGGGAAGAGTATGTGCATATGTTTATAGCTGAGGGGCAGAGACTAAGAGAAAGAAAAAAAATCTACATGGATTAATTTTAAGTTCCTAGGGAAGGACCTCAAAAGAAACAAAATACCACTGAAAATGGAAAGGGCTGCTCTCTTATAACCCCTTGCAAAGACCAATAAAATAATATAAAAGGTTTTGGCACAGATCTCACACTTGGGGACCAATCCTCCAGACATTTTGCTACACACAATATTCCCACAGATCACTAACACTCACCATTCCATGACTATCAGGAGACATTTTCGACCCTGGTAAAGATTTTCATAGACATCTATAATTTTCACAATATGGGCACACTGAGATGCCCTCCAGTGGAGTTCCACCTCTCTGCGAGCTTTCGGACAGTCTTGCAGCATCTGAAAAACAGAAGGGAAGGAAACATTTTCCTAAGATTTGAATATCACTTTTGTTGATATTATCCTTCACTAAGAATTCACATCCTACAATTTCCCCCAGGTTCTGCAGAATGTGGTTTGATTCATGAGAACAAAGCTTTAAATGTTCACTAAACACATGTCAGAATTCTCTACAGATTAGCTAAACTTTTTACCTGGTGCCACGTCAGTAACTCATGCCCACTGCATAAAGATCACTAAGTATACCAACCAGAAGTGAAACTGGTAAAAGTTTAAACAATTTTATTCATTTCTTTAACCAGAATTCACAAAGACATTTTTGTAACATTTAACAGATTTGAAAAATTTCATACAAAAGCCCAAATTATCACATGAATGTCTTCAAAGGAATGGAAATATATAACACAAAAAATTGTCAAGATGCAGAAGAGAATTCATAGCTCAGCAGGCATTTGCATACAAGCCTATTTAGTCTGAGCACAACATTCTCAGACCATTCTTATAACATCAAGTCAGTGCTCCCAAAAGCCAGTTCATTTAATGTCAGGTGATCTCTCATCACTTGATAAGTCACACACGTGTGCAAACTCCCTCCATTGATAAGTAAAGTGTTTGGCATAATACCAAGGTTCAATTGGCAGAGTTTCATTTGTATTATGTTTCTCAAATGCTGCTTGTTATATTAAGAACATAAGTTTGTGAACAGGACCTGGTACAACCTGGCACCAGCACCATTTAACATCTGTCAGTCTGTCTACATTCTGCAAAGGATGCTGACAGGACTAAGGTCTTAAGAGCAGGATGTGAGAGATCTGTCTCCCCCCCCCCATTTTTTTTAAACATCCAGCATGAAGAATTCCGGAGAACCTGAAAGTCTGCACAATTTATTTATCTGATTCCATTTCAATCCTGCCCTTCCCGCAAGTGGGGTCAGGGTGGGTTACAACATTAACATAAAAAAATAAAATCAAGATAAAATTATAAACTTAATCCTTCGACAATGGTGATCAAACTAAATCACAGCTATTTCAGTGGTGCCCTGGTGTTAGACAATAAAAACAGAAGGGCTAGATCCAAAAGAAATTCCAGATTATGAATACCCCAGGTGTCTATCATTCTGCGCTCTCATAAATTGAATACCATAAGATAGATGGTAATAGAGAAGTAACACAATGGTAACACACTGTTTTCTGTCATTAAATTGTTCCTAATAAAAGGTATTACAAGGAATTGTGTTATTGCTTAGGACCTAATCAGTAATTCATATTTTAATATTCTACCACTTCTCTCACACCTTCCTCATGTGCTACAGAATGATACTGTATATAGCCTCATTTTTTCCCATACACCACCTACATGAAGTAGGTTAAGTTGAAGAATGTGATCCAAGGCTACCCTGAGAGTTTCTATTTAAACAGGAGTCTGAACCACTCTTATCAACGGGCAATGTGACCAACGAAAGCTAAAGTGAAATTTGCAGGAAACTGCTTTTGCAGCTGATGAAATGATCAAAGATGAATGTATGCATTGCCATCTTGTGGTAAACATAACAACTGCACTCCCTCATGGATCACTGCCTTGACGTGGCAAGGGTGCTTGCATGGTTCGATGAGTCTGTGGGCTATGCGGTGGAGGGCCACCCAAGATGGACAGGCCACAGCAGAGAACTCAGACCAAGTGTGATCCACTGGAGAAAGAAATGGCAACCCACTCCAGTATCTTTGCCAAGAAAACCCCATGGACAGTAACAAAAGGCTACAAGATATGATGCCGGAAGATGACCCCTCAGGTCAGAAGGTGTCCAATATGCTACTGGGGAAGAGCAGAGGGCAAGTACAAGTAACCCCAGAAAGAGTGAAGCAGCTGGGCCAAAGCCGAAAGAACACTCAGCTGTGGATGAATCTGATGGTGAAAGGAAAGTCCGATGCGGCAAAGAACAATACTGCATAGGAACCTGGAAGGTCAGATCTATGAATCAAGGTAAGCTTGATGTGGTGAAAAATGAGATGGCAAGACTGAACATCGACATCTTGGGAATCAGTGAACTAAAGTGGACAGGAATGGGCGAATTTAA